AAAAAAAAAAAAAAAAAAAAAAAAAATTAGCTAGGCGTGGTGGTGTACGCCTGTATTCCCAGCTACTCAGGAAGCTGAGGCAGGAGAATCACTTGAACTCAGCGGGTGAGGTTGCAGTGAGCCAAGATTGGGCCACTGCATTCCATCCAGCCTGGCGACAGAGCAAGACTCCATCTCAAAAAATAAAATAAAATAGGGCCGGGCGCGGTGGCTCACGCCTGTAATCCCAGCACTTTGGGAGGCCGAGGCAGGTGGATCAGAAGGTCAAGAGATCGAGACCATCCTGGTCAACATGGCGAAACCCCGTCTCTACTAAAAATACAAAAAATCAGCTGGGCATGGTGGCGCGTGCCTGTAATCCCAGCTACTCAGGAGGCTGAGGCAGGAGAATTGCCTGAACCCACGAGGCAGAGGCTGTGGTGAGCCGAGATCGCGCCATTGCACTCCAGCCTGGGTAACGAGAGTGAAACTCCGTCTCAAAAAAAAATAAATAAATAAAATAAAATAAAAGTCCTTACCGAGAATGTTGACAATAGGAATTTAAAGTAATAATGTAACTCCTGGGCATTTATTCCAGAGAAATGAAAATTTACATTCATGCAAAAATACATACAGGAGCATTTACAACAAATTTATCCATAGTAACTCCAAACTGGAAACACAGATAGATATCTTCACTAAGTAAGTGATTAAACAGACTTAGGTTCCTCCATACCATTGATTGCTACTCAGCAGTGAAAAGGAATAAACTATTGATATATGCAACAAGTTGGCTAAATTTCTGGAGAATTGTGCTGAGTAGAAAAAGCAATCCTGAAAAGTTATTTACTGTATGATCCCACTAATATAACGTTCTTGAAATGACAAAATTATAAAAATAAAGAACAGATAAGTGGTTGCCAGGGGTTAAGGAGGGGATGGGGAAAGGAGGGAAGTAGGCATAGCTGTAAATAAGAAATATGAGGGATCTTTGTTGTGGTAGAAACGTTCTGTATCTTGATTGTATCAATGTCGATATTCTGGTTGTGATAATGTCGTATTGCAAGATGTTATCATTGGGATAAAGTGGGTAAAATGTGTTTTTTTTTTTTTTGAGATGCAGTTTTGCTCTTGTTACCCAGGCTGGAGTGCAATGGTGTGATCTCAGCTCACTACAACCTCCACCTTCCGGGTTCAAGCGATCCTCCTGCATCAGCCTGACAAGTAGCTGGAATTACAGACACATGCCACCACACCTAATTTTGTGTTTTTAGTAGAGATAGGGTTTCACCATGTTGGCCAAGCTGGTCTCGAACTCTTGACCTTAGGTGATCCACTTGCCTTGGCCTCCCAAGGTGCTGGGATTACAGGTGTGAGCCGCCATGCCCGGCCAATAAAGTGTATTTCTTAAAATGTACTTGCATGTGAATCTACAATTATCTCAAAAGAAAAGTTTAATTTTAAAAATTCATAATTGATATAAAGTATCTGGCACAATAACATTCAATTCATTTTCTTTTCTCTGGGCCTCAATTTCCTTAATTATAATTATTATAGTTAGTATTTCCTAAACATCTCGCATATGCCAAGCACTCTGTTTCATTGTCTAATTTAATCCACATGACAACCCTCTGAGGTACATACTGTTGCTTCCCTTTTGGCAACAAGGAAAGCAAACTTCAGAGGGTTTAAATATTTTTTTCTAAGGTCATGTTAAATGTAAATTTTTGGTGCCACAAAAGAAGTAGCACTCGAATATAAATTTCCTCAGCAAGGCAATTTACTTCTATAGAAGGGTGCATCTCATAGATGGAGCAATGGCAAGTGCACACCTGAATAGGGAGGGGAAGGGGTTCTTTTTTTTTTTTTTTTTTTGAGACGGAGTTTCACTCACGTTACCCAGGCTGGAGTGCAATGGCACGATCTCAGCTCACCGCAACCTCCGCCTCCTG